CATGGGGGGCAGGACACTGATCAGGGGCAGGTCTGGGAAGGCGCAGGGAGGGGTGTCCTGCCCCGCTAGGGCCTGGCTGGCAGCTCTCTGCTGCCCCCGTGTGTCACGAGCTGGTACCACCAGCGGCCTCCGCTCTCCACAGCCCTGGCAGGCCAGCCTGGTGCCCGCCGCCCCTGCCTCTGTGCCGGGCTCTGCTAGTTCCTGTGGCTGCATCTGGAGCTGAAGTGGGTGTCCGACCGGCCACGGGGCCCACTCCCATCACCGCCCACAGCTCTGCCCACGCCTCCTGCCAATTCCTTGGCCCATCACTGTTATCCTAGGAAAATGCCAGCTGGGCATCTATCGACGAGAAGAGCTATATCTACATCCATCTCTCCATCTCCATAGCTCCATGATCCATATCTACAGATGAGAAGGCTATGCAATGAGTCAGACACACATATAAGCAGACAGCGCAGCAAGCTGTGATCAGATAGACTGACGGGTGGACACACGGACTGGCAGGCAGGCAGGGAGCATGCGTGAGGAGGCGGGCGGCCCACGTGCCGCGAGGACTCACACTGGGTGGACAGCCTGCGGACCACGGGCTCCATGCCCCAGGCGGCCAGGCTGCTGGCGCCCTGCACGCCCTTCTCGTAGGCGTTGCACACGGAGGCCACCAGCGGGTGGGCCTCCTTGGTGCTGGTGTAGGTCTTCTGGACGCACTCGCAGGTGCCGCTCACCACGGGCAGCTGCAGGACGCGCTGCAGCACGTTCTCCTGCTCCTGGCGTGGGAGGAAGACAGGCCAAGGTGTGCGAGTGGTCGCACCTCCCTCTCCCGCCCCTGCACCCGCCTAAGTCGGCCCCAGGGCCACACAGCCCACTGACAAGGCCAGCCTGGGTCCAGTGACCGAGCAGGAAGCCAGGTCTCAGTGGCCTCTGCACCCCCCACAGGGAAACAGGCCACAGCCCAGCTCTGCAGGGCTCCCAGGGCACGGCGTCCACCCAGGCTCCAGCCCACCCACTGACACCGTCGGGCGCAAAGCTTCTGTCCATCTCGGCTTGGGGGCTTTATCTAAACACGAGAGGCCTGGTGCACGAAATTTGTGCACCATGTGGGGGTCCTTCAGCCTGGCCTGCGCCCTCTCGCAGTGCAGGAGCCCTTGGGGGCAGTCGGATAGCCTTAGCGCTGCCACAGAGGTGGGGAGAGGGTCCTGCCACTGCCACTGAGCTCGCCAGCCATGAGCCCAGCTCAGGGCTTCTGGCTGAGCTGTGCTCACCGGGGGCAGCTCCTGTGTTGTGCACCTGCCCTCTGGTGTGTGTCATAGCAACTTGTCATTCCGCTGTTTGGTCAGTTTGCATATTAGCCTTTTATTATATAGCTGGTTTGGCTCAGTGGGTAGAGCAGACTGAAGGGTCCCGGGTTCGATTCCCAGTCAAGGACACATGCCCGGATTGCACGCTCGATCCCCAGTGTGGGGCGTGCAGGAGGCAGCCGATCCATGATTCTCTCCTATCATTGATGTTTCTATCTCTTTCTCCCTTTCCCTTCCTCTCTGAAATCAATAAAAATATACTTTTTTAAAAATAGGAAAAGAAGAAAGGTCCCCAGCTCTGACTCGCTTTGAATTTGCCGCTGGTACATGGTTCTGCTGGGAGGCGAGCTCCCAGCCGTGTCTGCGGGTGGGAGGCTGAGCGACAGACCCACCCAGGAGGTGTGAGCGTCCGCTAGACCCAAGCTACAGTCTCTGAGCTTCCTGTCCTGCAGGTGAGTTTGAAATCTGAGCCAGAAAAAGATTGACTGACAACAGCGAACCTTTTCTTTCATGTTTTGGACAGAGTCCTCAGGGGTTCTTTTAGGCAAAGCCAAGGAAGAGAGAGGTCCCGGGAAGAAAATATCACCCCCCCCACACACATTAGGACGGCTTCACTGTGCACCTGATCAGCTTGAGCCTCTGTGTGCTCTATAATCAACACAAAACTTAACACGGCGATTCCCAGGGCAAAGGGTAAGTAAAGCTAACTTGGGACAAGGTGAGCATGGTGTGGCGTCATCATTTTTTCATTTCAAAATTTTTAAAAATATATTTTTATTGATTTCAGAGAGGAAGGGAGAGGGAGAGAGAGAGAGAAACATCAATGATGAGAACCATCAATCATTGACTGGCTGCCTCCTGCATGCCCCACACTGGGGATGGAGCCCGCAACCCGGGCATGTGCCCTGACCGGGAATCAATCCGTAACCCCCCACCCCCACCCCCTAGGCTCGTAGGTCGGGGCTCAATCGCTGAGCCACGCCGGCTGGGCAGTTTCACTATTTGAACTGTGTCTGAATCAGAGAGGCTTGGCCAGGAGGTTAGCAGGTACATCAAACATGTCAAACCATCCCAAATCATGTGGGAACCAGCTGGACACAGCCCTGGACATGCGCCCCTCCCCTGTCCCACCTGCAGCAGTGCAGGCTGTGCCCTGTGTGACTGTGAGGCGCCACCGTCTCAGACCACGGCAGGAACAACGCCTGGGTACAGCGCGCAGTGGCTCCTACTGCAGGGACCTCCGCCTGGGCGGGCAGAGCGTGGGCCTCCGCGCCCGGGTTTAGAATACAGTGGTTCTGTCTGGCCGGTGTGGCTCAGTGGTTGAGCATCAACCTAGGAACCAGGAGGTCACGGTTCCATTCCCGGTCAAGGGCACATGCCTGGTTGGGGGCTCCATCCCCAGTGGGGGGGGTGCAGGAGGCAGCCAATCTATGATTCTCTCTCATCACTGATGTTTCTGTCTCTCCCTCCCTCTCCCTTCCTCTCTGAAATCAGTAAAAATATTTTTTTTAAAAAAGAAAGAATACAGCAGGTCCCTTCTCCTCTCCCTCCCAGCTGGCATTTCTGTCCTTTTTTCTCCAATGTCCTTTCTTTTTTTTTTTTTTTTTTTTTTTTAAATATATTTATTGATTTTTTACAGAGAGGAAGGGAGAGAGATAGAGAGTCAGAAACATCGATGAGAGAGAAACATCGATCAGCCGCCTCCTGCACATCCCCCACCGGGGATGTGCCCGCAACCCAGGTACATGCCCTTGACCGGAATCGAACCTGGGACCTTTCAGTCCACAGGCCGACGCTCTATCCACTGAGCCAAACCGGTTTCGGCAATGTCCTTTCTTTTTGAATGGCACCTTCCCTGCCCCCCTCCCCCCGATCCTCTAACAGTCCTCTGCAGAATGAAGTGAGAGCAAGAATAACTAAGACTTAACAGTCAATGAACGCCAATGTCCGCGGACCACTGGTGGTCTGTGAGGTCTGAAAGGTTGGTGACTGCTGCTCTCCACGCATCTTGCCCCACGTACCCTGAGCCTCCCTCACGGGTCCACCCCACTGCATGCGCCCAGGTTACTTACGGGGCAGTCTCCGTCCATCAGGGTGGGGCTCTTGTTCACGGCCATCGTAGCTCTTCACGCTGCAAAGCAGAAGGCCCGGTGCATCAGCAAACCCTCAGCTGCAGACGCCCAGGGCCAGTCCCTCCCTCTCGGGCCTCCACCTGGGCCCAGGCTGCCTGGGAGCTGGGGTGCCCTGAACAGGAGGCACTAGGCTGGAGGGTGGATGGCACAGACAAGCAGCCACTCCTGGGGGTCCCACCGGGATGAGGTGCCCACAGCCTGCTTGTCAAGGCTGGTGTTTCAACCCGGCTGTGGTGGCTCAGTGTTCTCCCATGGACCAACAGGTCCCGGGTTCGATTCCCAGTCAGGGCACATGCCCGGGTTGCGGGCTTGATCCCCAGGAGGGGGCGTGCAGGAGGCAGCCAATCCATGAGTCTCTTTCATTATTGATGTTTCTATCTCTCTCTTTCTCTCTCCCTTCCTCTCTGAAATCAATATATTTAAAAAAAAGAAAAAGATTGGTGTTTCTTACAAGGATGCAGGGTAAGAAGTAAAAAAATGAAGGTCACTTTAAGAGTTAAAAGGTACTGCCCTGGCTGGTTTGGCTCAGTGGATAGAGCGTCAGCCTGCAGACTGAAGGGTCCTGGGTTTGATTCCCGGTCAAGGGCACATGCCCAGGTTGTGCGCTCGATCCCCAGTGGGGGTCATGCAGGAGGCAGCCGATCCATGATTCTCTCTCATCATTGATGTTTCTCTATCCCTCTCTCTCTCCCTTCTTCTCTGAAATCAATAAAAATATATTTTAAAAAATTTTAAAAAAAAGAGTTAAGAGGTTCTGCCCTGGCCGAGTGACTCGGTTGGTTGGGCATCATCCCATACATCCAAAGGTTGCTGGTTCGATTCCTGACCATGGCACATGCCCCAGGCTGAGGGCTTGATCCTCATTAGGGGTGTGCAGGAGGCAGCTGATCCATGTTTCTCTCTCTCCCTCTAAAAGCAATAAAAACATATTTCTTAACAAAGAACAAGTTTTGCATTAAGACTTTTTAAGAAGGCATACCTGCCAGCCCTCCCCCTCTATATTCAACCAGGCGAGAAAGTAGTTACTGGCTATTTTCGACTGCTTTCTAGAAAAGCTAGCGGCCCCAGACTATCAAATCTACACTCTTGGTCATTCACCCGGCAAATTCCCAGGAGACCTCTCCCCGCTCGACCCTCCTCTGCTTTCCTTTGCCTCTCAGAGACCAACCAGGTAAGGCAGGTAAGGCAGGGGCCCCGGGACCCCCACACTCACTCCGGCTGACGCCTCCTCTGTCCCAGAGCCCGGGCTGCAGTGTCTCCTCCGACAGAAACAGTCCCGGTGGCTCCGAGGAGTCTTGGGCAATGCCACTGACACCTCCCAGCTAGAGGAGGGCAGAGAGGAGAAAGCTTAGTCAGCCCGTTGCCATGGTTACTAGACCCAGGGTCCCCCCCGGGGCATACCCTAACTTCTGTAAGACTTAGCCAACTGGGAGGGAGGTAGATGGCGGAGCCGACGGGGATCCGGGCTCACAGCAGTCATTATTCCAGAGCTTTCCATCAGTTCTGTAGCAGGTTTCTGGCTCCCCCAGTTCTCAAAATGCCCTTTTCCATAAGGAAAGTGTGGGGATAGGTGTCATTAAAAGTGGGAGCTCTCAAGTTCTATAACCTTTTGCTCCTCTCCCACAGAGGGTCCTGCGGGACTGTTTTCAAACCATTTCCCACCCCTTATTATCACTATCAGAGGGAATTTCTTTAAAAATTTGTATTGATGCTGAAACCGGTTTGGCTCAGTGGATAGAGCATCGGCCTGCGGACTGAAGGGTCCCAGGTTCGATTCCGGTCAGGGGCATGTACCTTGGTTGCGGGCACATCCCCGGTGGGGAGTGTGCAGGAGGCAGCTGGTCGATGTTTCTCTCACCAATGTTTCCAACTCTCTCTCTCTCTCCTTTCCTCTCTGTAAAAACTCAATAAAAATATATTTAAAAAAAAATTTGTATTGAGCCCTAACCGATTTGGCTCGGTGGATAGAGCATCAGCCTGCAGACTGAAAGGTCCCAGGTTCGATTCCGGCCAAGGGCATGTACCTTGGTTGCAGGCACATCCCCAGTAGGAGGTGTGCAGGAGGCAGCTGATCGATGTTCCTCTCTCATTAATGTTTCTCTCTATCCCTCTCCCTGCCGCTCTGTGAAAAACCAACAAAATATATATATAAAAAAATTGTATTGATTTCAGAGCGGAAGGGAGAGGGTGAGAGAGATAGAAACATCAATGATGAGAGAGAATCATTGATGGGCTGCCTCCTGCACATCCCCCTACTGGGGATTGAGCCTGCAACCTGGGCATGTGCCCTTGGCTGGAATCGAACCTGGGACCCTTCAGTCCGCAGGCCGATGGTCTATCCACTGAGCCACACCCGCAGGGCTCTCGGTGAGGAAGGGAACCCGAGCTGGGGTGAACTCCCTGACCGTCCAACCTTTGAGGGAGCAGCTTCAACCTCTGCCCATTCCTACATTTCAAGGAAGTTTCTTGAACTCCACCTGCTCCAAGATGCCACCAGAACATGCCGCTGGAGAGCCACCTGGATTCGCCCAAGTATCTGTCACTGATCAGCAACCAAGAACTGTGGCCTCGCACGCCTGCCTTGGCCACGGGTCAGGCTGAGCCCGGGGCCGGTTCCTGGCTGCAAATGACGGAGGGCTATGGTGTGAGCCACGGTGTCCACACTGAGGAGGGTCTCTTAATGACAACGGACAGGAGAACAACGCTGACTTCCCTTGCTGTTGGTGGGACTGTATTGTTGACTCTCTAGGTCAGCGGTTCTCAACCTGTGGGTCGCGATCCCTTTGGGGGTTGAATGACCCTTTCACAGGGGTCGCCTAAGACCATCGGAAAACACATATATCATTACATATTGTTTTTGTGATTAATCATGATGCTTTAATTATGTTCAATTTGTAACAATGAAATTGGGGGTCACCACAGCATGAGGAATTGTATTAAAGGGTCGAGGCATTAGGAAGGTTGAGAACCACTGCTCTAGGTTGTGTGCTGTGGGCAGTGGAGGAGGTGGAGGGTGGGGCCCGGCCGGTGTGGCTCAGTGAGCTTCAGCCTATAAACCAGGAGGTCACAGGTTTGTTTCTCTGTCAGGGCACATGCCTGGGTTGCAGGCTCCATTCCCAGTGAGGGGCGCGCAGGAGGCAGCCGATCGATGATTCTCTCTCATCATTGATGTTTCTCTCTCTCCCCGTCTCCCTTCCTCTCTGAAATCAATAAAAATATATATATATAAAAAAAGAGGGGCAGAGGGTGGGGGAAAACTGAGCTCTCTGATAGGTCCTCATAATCCAGTCGGTATCTGTGAGACAGTAAAGCAGGAACTGGGAGGGGAGGAA